CTAGAGAATTCAAGTTTTGCATGAAACTGGGGATGGGGTGGCTGGATGGGTGGCTAAAATTGTCAACAAAATGAAGATCTGAATTGATTTGATCCCTAAAAACAGTATATAAGTGTAGTTTGATAGTCATTATTTTCCAAAGGGAGTTTTATGTTTGTAAAAGCATTTCATATATTTTAAGACAGATTTTCAGAGCCCAGGAAAATTGGAAACATTCCACTGAAAAAACGTCACCTGATAGCAAACCATTCTCACTTGACAATAGAACATGGATTTGACTTGTATGCGTCCGTACAGTTTCTACTGTCTATTTTTAGCCGTCCTTCATTCATAGTTACTGTATGATTCCAATGTTTTCCTGACTCTGATTTTATGTAGTTTACATAGAAGTTGTGTTAGAATTAAGCTAATTGATGTGTGTGAGACATTGCTCATTGTATGTTTTCTTGTTTTTTATTTAAAGTCCTGCAGTCTAACAAAACAAATATTTGCAGGATTTTTATATTGCCGTATGCAAATGCAAGGAAAATCCCAACATCTGGCATATTACTCTTGGCAGGGTCAGGCATGAATGTCCTAGTACTCATTCCCAAGTCTGCAACTAATATTGCAATATAAGGAACAAAAGGAATTGAAAAAATATTAATTATAGATCTGTGATAAAATTTTCACTAAATACAGTGAATTTTGTTCAAATACACATCTAAACTTTAAATGTTCACTGCTATCTTCAACTTAGCATTAGTTCCATAGGTATCAATATGTGATAAAGATTATACAAATACTAGAAGTTTGTCAACCTTTCATACCTGGAACAACTGAAACTTGATCTGAAACATGACAATTATGTGTTCTCAAATAGTAAAGAGAACAATTTTACATATTTACTCATAAGGATTAAATGAAAGAGAGCATGGGTGTAAGACTGATTCCTTTCAATGGATGAGTGTCACTATAAGATTTCTCGTTGTTTTTTTTGGTCAGTGGGAATTTCTTGGATATTTTCTAGTTTTTTGTAAACGTCACTTATACATAATACTTCCATTGGCTCATCATTTTCTTCATGAATAAAAGGTTTCACGCCATGGTAATCAATGATAGATCCCAATGAATGATCTTGACTCCCAGACTGGTCAATTGATTCAATGGCTCTGTCAATTTCATGAACATCCACATTACCAAATGACATAATATCAGAATCATCCCTTATGTCTAGCCAATGGTCTTCAGTTTCATCTTCAAGATCATCAAATGATTAAGATCATCTATCAGACATATACTAAATTTGATAAAATATTGGCTTTGATTTTCAATACAATTTTGTGTTTTCATGTTAGCCATAGATTTTACCCAATATTTATTACATTCCAAGGACAACTGCCACCCATATCTTGAAACTAGTTGTGTTACAAGCATGATAAAAAGATGTTGTTAAACAAAATATCTTGCTAATGACAACTCACACCTGGTGAAAGACCCTCTTGAAAACAAAATATTGTCCTTGTTTTTTCATAGGCAAGTTGTTGCAGGAATTACATTGGGGGTCTGAAATAGAGAAGCCCTATATTGAAGTTGAGTTTGGAAATTGAAGCCTAGATGGAGCAAAATTGTACACCTCAGATGGAGGTCAAATATTGCATTTTCTGCAGTGTATTGTGTTGCTTTCATATGGACTTCTTTGCCCCATATGTACCAGAGAAATGAACTTTTATAACTCTAAAAAATACAGTTTGTCACATACCATTGTGCTATACAATGGGCTTCATCAAATGCAAGGCAGACACAATAATCCTTGAATGCAGTGGAGGACACAAATCGTCGCCATCGACAGGTTGCCAACACTGATTCGGGTGATGTGAATATTATATTATATACCCCTCCATTTTCAATTTCTAACAGCACTTCCTCTGACTGATCAGCATATATGGCAGCTGTATTAATACCCAATGCTCTAAGCTTTGATACTTGGTAGAGCATTCAAGACTGCAGCGGAGTTACAACAAGAATGCAAATTCATAAAGGGAGCCTGTCCATCAGATAATCATTGACGAATGGTATGACTTGATAAATCAGGGGCTTCGCATAACCAGTTGGTGCGCTGAAATACAGATTTTTCCCTCAGAAAAAATCTCTTAAAGCCTCCAGCTTCTCTTCGTGCATTGAACTTATCCCAAACATTGTCCTCGCAAACCCTAACCCTTCCTCAATTTTTTCTTTGTTCCAAACAGCAATATCTCTCACAATAACACTTTTCATGGTCGGCATTTCTAAATCGAGCAAAAACGTGACTTTTTAAAAATGCAGCGTGGATTAGAGCGGTTTGATAAGACCATAGGGTAGTCGCGTTATCCAATGGAATCATCTCCCAAAAAATTGGGAGATAGATTTGATTGGCCCTTAAACAATAAAATAACAAAAGGGCTGCTTGAAGATTTGATTGCAAATGAGGTGGGAACAAGCCTTTTGACTTCAATTTGCAGACTCTACTCTTCGGGATAGAAGTGTTTGAGGCTGCACGCAGGCTATTCATCTCCAGTTTCCACAAGGCTCTAGCTGCCACAAGCTTTTCTTAGTTGGCTCCCCAATTAAATAAGGTAAAGATTTGTTGGCAGACGTCTGTGTTTTGAACAAGCCATTTAACAGTTTCCATTTTACATAAATGGGTCCACTAGACCAGCCTTGTGCAACGCATCGTAGCTGTACAAAATATTATCTGCCTGCAAGCCATACATAGAGTCAAATGGGCGGTTGATTCCAATGAGAAAATGGGCACTGTCGAAAACAGTACTTTCGATCTGAGAACCATCGACTCCCAATTCATTGAAGCCTTCCTTCATATTATTAGCCAATCCAACAGCGTTGCTTCCATATTTCACAACTGGTTGTCGAAAACTAATGACCTCTAGCCAAGATTTGACCACAAGGAGAAATGGTCACTCCACCAAGAGACTGCCTCGATCTGTGCTTGTATGTAGCTTTATCCACAGAGAGTGCAAGTGGAGGTCTATGGCCATTTGCCAGTTTGCTCCATTTTGCCAGAAAGAATATTGCCGGCTGAAGAAGATACAAAAGCTACCAAAAGCAAATTCGTAAGAGAACTAATAACTGTTGGTAGCAATAACCTAGAATGTCTGCCATTCAAAAACGCAGAAATCCCTGATGCAACAAGAGGGCGAAATTTAACGTCTGTTGATGTGAGTAGTACCAAGTTTTTACTGAGAATTTCTTACACTGGTTTTCTGTTATTGTTTGAACATCAGATGTTCATACTATCAGTTCATCTTTCCAAACAATGTTTTTTGTTTTCCCCATCCACACAAAATATACAGACATTTTTCAAGTCTTAATGTTCTTAAAAATGTGTGGTTCTTCTGAGCTCAAAAGTATTCTTAAATTATTATTGAGCAACACAAATTTGGTATTAGTCTAAAGATAAAGTTATGCTACTGTGTTTCTTTTCACCCGATCCTCGCTCCATTATCCAGTTAGTTCTACTAATGGTTGTACACCATTACTCAAGGACAACTTAAGTAATGCTCATAATACATAATACGTATTACACCATTAGTAAAGCACTACACATTAATGGTGATTTAGAATATTTTTCGTATAGAATTGGTATAGGGCTACATCGAGTATTTCAGTCGCACACTTTTTATCGATTGGACTTGTGGGTCGTTCTTACTCTTGTTTTCTTTTGTATTTGAAGGCAGTTTTGTACGATTATTCTCAGCTTTCGTAAGTACAATTCTTCTTCTAAAGTTTATACAGAATTGCCAGTTTTTGTTTTCTTTATTTTTGAAGCACGAATCCATCCTGAATAGGATATGCCTATGATGATGACCACTAGCCTAATAGTCCAGTCGAGTGCTTTTTGTGCTTTTGGGCAGAAATTTGATTAAGCAAGGCTTTACTAATATTCATCCCTTTGGGTAAAAATATCCCTGTTGGGTACCTTATGTAGGCTTTCATTGAAATTTTAGAGTCAAATGTTTCTGCCAGAATAATCTTAGGCCTCTGGCTCTGACCATCACGCAAAAAGAAACAGGTACAACTGGGAGTGAAAAGAAGGAAAGAAAAATGAAAAGGAAAACATATATTACCTGCTCTGCACTTAGAAGGGTAGACAGCATCGCCTCCATTTTCTTGGTTTTCCACTCTCAGTTGAGCCTGACGTAAAGCACAGGACGAAAAGAGTTGTTCTGCTCGATGCTATTTGCAACGTTTTGGATCGTTTTAGGCCATTCTGCGTAATTTTTGGGTCGTTGCGGCTAGTTTTGGCCTGGTTTTTGCTGGTTATGGGTTGTTTTGGCTCGTTTTGGGTAATTCCATAGTTTAGTAAAACCGTTCAAAAAAGCTTTAAACTGTATCATTATTTAACAATTATCATTCATTTTTCTTCAAAAATCCCCACTTTTAAATCTAATGCTAGGAAATTTTCCAGGCAACTTTTTGGGGAGGGGTTGCCCATTTACTGAAAGTACTGAATGTTCGTAACTTTTTCCTACTGTCCAGTACTCATTTCTTGTATTCAGTTTGTTATAATGAAATGTAGTTGATGTTCTCTCACCCTTTTTTATTCATTGACTTGTCATGTAGGTAAGATTGTTTTTTTATAACATAGGACCCTAGCTTTACTGTATTGTACTAGTCTTTTAGAATGAAGTTTTCATTCAAAGTGAATGTATTTTTTAGATGAGTCTCTGAAGCCGTCGCCCTAAAGTTGCAAAAGAAAGATTTGTTTCCTCAAAGTTGGTAACAAAGAAAGCATGTTTGCCAGGAAATAACGTTTTAAGCAACGCATCTAAAGATCCAACTAATGTTTTAAATGAAGATGATTTGGTAGAAGAATTCACCTTTGAGGATCAAACTGATTGTGCAAACAACAAAGAAAAAAAGACCTATGAATACATAAAAAATAAATTGTGTGAATCATGGGCTAGCATTCTGCCAAAAATCAACCAGGCATTTGTTGAGAGCTTTGTTCCTTGGACAAATACCTGTTCACAGTGTGAGAAAGAGACTTTTAATATTTGTCGTTGCCTGGATTGTGGAGCAGAATTGTTCTGTGAGGACTGTGCAAAGATTGTACACGAAAAGCATGCTCCATGTATCTACATGTTCCAGAAGTTTGGAGTGTATGTTCTTTTAGATTCTAAGTTTTGCAGACATATTCTGGTAGTTTACTACAAACAGTGTAAAGATACAGTAATTTACCTGTAGGTAAATTAGATTTTTTCAAATTAAACTTCAATTTATCCACATCCAACCTAAAGCTCTTTCCTTATGTTGTCTGAGTCTTTAAAGCTGTCATCTATGCCTATAACCACTTTACAAATTGTTCTTTAGGGATACATGTTTGAAAGAATGAATCTTTTAGTCTCTCTGGAAAGCCAGTTTCATGTTGATTGCGCTACAAGGTACTACAGGTCTGTTGTGGTTGTAGATGATAAAGGTAAATTTGTTGTTTGTTTAAGTAATTTTAATAATCTCAAAAAAGTATATTGTATGTTTTTCATATAATTGAATTGCATATATTTCTTTTAAAAATGACTTAAGTATGATTACTTTTTCTATATTTTCTTTAGAAACACCAGACTTCTCAGTTCAATTTCCAAATTATTTTTAAGGTGGTTTTATCAACTGCCAGTGATAGTTTTTTGATCTCGTTCTATGAATTTTAGCAGAACTGCCAAGCGCAAACCACAATTAATTGCTAATGATTAATTATATTTCTGTTTTTGATTGCCATTGAGGTTACCCATGAAATGTTTGCTGTATTACACATAAAGATACAATTTTTTTGTAACTGATAATGTGATGTATTTCAAGTTAATTCTGTATTGCAGGGAGACAACACAAAGTGTCAATGGAATTTTGTCAATGTGAGGAAGAATCGGTGACAATTATTCGTCATTGTATGTGGCCTTCTTCTCCTAAAAAGCCACAAGCAGCCTACTCTTTTCATTTCATGGAGATGATGCAATCATTGATGTTGGAGAGCCATGTGTCAATAAAGTCATACCTTGAAGCATACAGAAATATGCACTTGATTCAAAATGATGTTGAGGTTTGTTTTATGACATTCTTTTACATTTTGATCATAAGTTAATTTTAAAGGCATTGAGTTATGGCAAATAGGCCTTCTCTATAGGGGGTAGTTTGGTTTCGGTGTGATCACTGAAGTTTCATGTGATATAGGCATTCGTTGTTGACATCTTGCTATTGATGGAAACTATTTTGTTAATCAGTCTAAGGTGAGTTCATGTTAACAGTTCCAGATCAACCAAAAGCATTGCAGCACGAAGATCATGACCCAGCAGTTTTGGGTGTGTTTGGGTATACCCTCTTCTTTTATCACAACTAAATGCCTTTAAGCAATATGAGAATATTAGTTTTATTTTTGAATATGAATAACTTTCAGCCTAGTATTCAAGAATAGGAATACATAGGAATGACAATACTTAGATTTTCATGTAGATTATATGCATAATAATGTAGGATTAAAAGTGTATTGTTGGGCCTGCTCTATCACTCTTACTTTTGTGTAAATGCTTAAAAGGTTTTTGCAAGAATAAAAGTGTGCTTTTGCCATGAGCAAAATAAGTATAGATCAAGCCAACCATCGAATAGGAGTGCAGTTTAACAATCAGAATCCAATCTATCCAGGGAAGTAATTTATCAGCATAATCAGATTGTTCTTCTCTTTGCAGCTAACAAAACATAAGATTAACCCTCAACAAATAATATAATCCCCAACAACACATTATTTTTAGAATCCCCATCTCATCTTAGCACAAATACATTATACATTTAATACATTTTATACATTTAATACATTAAATGTATCCCAATACAGTAATTTGGTTTCATTGTATATGATTTATATTTACAATGTTTCATTTGTTTTGTTTCCCTGATATACCTAGTTTTTTTTCAAGATGAGAAATTTATATAAGATGGCTGTGAATGGGAGCTTCATGGAATATTGTAAGTTTGTTCGTGAACAAAACTCCTTGCCTTCAGTTGACAGTGGTAATGGCAATGACTGGAACAAGTGCTGGGCATGCTCAAAGGTAATAATGCTTCCTTGGCAAGCAACCTTTTTATAAATTCCAGTTGATTGGCTATCTTTTCTGGTGGACATGTGGTAGACAAAATCTATAAAATCACACTACACAGTTGCAGTGCACAGTGGATGTTGACACCAGTAACTAGGATAAAATGAAATAAAGCTTCCACAGATTGAGTCCTCAACACTTGCTATAATGCCAAGTGGAAGGCTGGTTCAGAGTTTTTGCAACCTGTTGATTGTGACCAACAGACAGGTGGAACATGTATTTAATCCATAATTCTTTCAAATTGATGGGAATGTTTTATTGATTATATCCGTATGATATAAATGGATTACACATGTGATTATCGCTATGCCAGTGTTAACAGAGATAAAAAGTTGTATCATAGCTTCTGCTCTGATGTTACTTTGTCATTATTTGCAGCGAGGAGGGTCAGTCACAGTTGCCGTTGATGCAAACTTTGGCTTAGTCCATAAGAAGAGCTCTGGTGGGTCCAATCCTGTTTGTACAGAATTTTTTATCCACGATGAGCAAGTAATGAACTTCTTGGAAGGCTACAATGATAGAAATATATCTTTGGAACAGGTGTGTTTCACCACTTTATGAAAATATGCCAATTGCTTACTGCAATTTCTGCAAATCTTACCTAGGGAACAACTCCTTTTTGATCATAAAGTATCATGCTTCAAGAAAAGGTACTGAATATGTACCCTAAAAGTACCAAGTTGCATTACTTTATTGCTAGCAAGTTACTCAGTAACAATGGTTTATATTATCTCTTCAATTTTGTATAAAGAATCACAGTTCAGTTCAGTTTAATCCCTCAACCTGTATCAGGTCCTGGTACACTGGTCAGGAGTCTTCCCAAGTACGCACATAATTTTAAAAGGCTCCCTTTTCCCTTTTTTTACAAGTATGATAAAAGTTCCGGTACTAAGTGCCTTAATCCTTTGGGATTGTTTCTGCAAACTTGATCTAGCCCTGATGCAAGTAGAGCTGTGTTGCTCTTTTTTCCAACTTATCAAGCTTGTAATTATTTGGTTCTGGTTGTCAGCTCTGTAAACTTCTTTTTGATCCTAATTCAGGTTATTTATTATGTTGCCAGAAGCTAGTTTTGAGGATGTAATTTGCTGTAAATTGGACTATCTGACAAATTAAATATATCACCTTAGTATATGGAAAGTTTAGAATGTGTAATATTGACTATCCCAGTAGTATGATATCTATACAAATACTTAATGACTTTTTTCAAGGCATGCAGCTCATTCAAAGCTGGAGATCATGTAAGATCAAAGGTTGCAACAACAAAATTAGACTGCACTGGGCTTTTTGGTGCCTCATGCAAGCATGAGTTTCCTTTGAAATTCCTAAGTATGAATACTGGAGAAAGGTAATGCAAAGAGAAATTCCTTGTGACCTGTCCATTTTGATACTTAAAAAAAGATTTGTTATAATAGACGATTTTTAAATAAGTAATGGGTTAGCACAGTGCAAATATCAAGAATGTTAAAACCATAATTAAAAGCATATGAAAAGCTATTCATTTAATATCATTCATTTTCAATGGAATTCATTGCTATTCATTTATTTGCTGTATAAGTGCATATCATATCTTAAACAGCATTTAAAATGAATGTGATATGCTTTTCTCAATTATAGCCCCATCGGTGTGTAAACTTGTGTATTGCTTATTTTTTCCAAAATGTTTTTCATTTTAGGCTAGGTTATTCTGTCATGGTTTTAGAGGCCCTTGTAGAAGAATGCAAGCCAAGAGGACAAAAAATATACTATCTTTATGATATAGCTTGCAAGCTAAAGAGCCATCTAAAGGTTTGACTTACAGTATTTGACCTGCAAGAAAAATCATTTGTATCAAATTCAGTTTTTCATGAAGTTTCAATATGTCTCCAATAAAGTCTAGCTTGATTTACAGTCAGCTGTTGATAGATCTGTTACGCATGCTATTATCCAAATAACAAAGGTTATCATGATGATGACAGAGTTATCAACATTCAAGATGGCTATTGTGCTTTAATAAGAACAAATTTTGACTGCTTAGACTAATTGTATTAATTTCTGTAAACAACTAGTATTTTTGTGGCCATAGTAATCCGGTATTTTGCTGATCCTTAACAGTGATTTTTTTTTCATTTCACAGAAGCTGGACCGACAAAAAGAAATCCAAAGTGTAACTTTTGGTATACCTGTCTTCCACTGCTATGGTCATGTTGGCTCTTGTCAGGTTAACAGTAGATCTTAATTTACCACTTTAAGTATCCCCATCTTTATAAGAATAATATAGATTTTCAAAAAAAAAAAAATCTCTTAAACGTTTCGACCAAAGTCTTGACAAGACCTTAAGAGATCTAAATTGCAAGCCACTGCGCTGTTGCATTACAGCAAACAATTTATTTTCTCATCAAGAGATTACAACTAATGCGTTACAAACAGCTATTTGGTAAAGGTTCGTGATTATTTTGCAGATTGAATACAATCCACGCCTAATTGACGATATTGGGTTGGTAGATGGCGAGTGGATGGAGCGTCTTTGGTCATATCTACGGCCATTTTCAAGAATAACGAAGGAGACTACTCTTGAAAATCGTGCTTTCATACCATCCGATGCCCTAACGTACTTTGGTAGAAAGAAAATGCTGAAAATTGGTTTGTGTAATCTAACAGAACTATGTGTACTTGGACATCATTGACTAATTTCCTTCATTTTGCTCTCTTTTTCTATATTTTTAGTCGAACCAGTGTTTTAGAGAATCCTCTGGATCTTATTCTATATGTAGGGTCTGCAACTTTGGAAATAATGTCATCCTGTCTCCGCCATCAGTTTCCTGTGAACCTGCCAATTAATGAAAACTGTTTTTATAGAACTAATCTATTGTCTGACATTTGTCCATTCAAACTAACATTTAACCGGAAAATATGTAATTAATGTTGTAAGGTATTTGCTTTGAAGACAAATATTGAGTACTGTGTTTTATCTTTAACGCTCTCTTTCTAACAAATGTACCTTTCTAACAAACGTCCCTCTCCAAAACTTCCCCCTAGAAAACCAAATTTGTTAAATAAATGCCAAACCCTTTTGGACTAAGGGTTTTGATGATAAAGACGCTAAAGGTTTCAAAAGGGGGAAATAACTCGTTTCAAAAAAGCAAAAATGCTAAAAATTTTGATAAAAGACCAGGTGTTTATTAGATTAAATGCAGTACAAAGTTATGCAAACATTCAAATAATGTGATAAAAGTCTGATTTTTAGGAGGAATCACTTCCATTCTACTTTCTTTTATTTGACTTCTGTACCCGTTATACATGATTTTTTTGCAGACGAAACGCTTATTACGAGTTTAAAAAGGGCACAAAACATCGAATCTTTGGCTAGAGAAAAGTTTGCCTCATTAGTCTCTCAAACAAAAGGTGAGTGTCAAGATTTGCTCATAGAAATCCTTTATCCAATATCTCTTTAGAATTAAATGCTATACTTATTAAAGGAAATTTTTTCAAACTTCAAATTGTCATTCTCATTAGCTTTAAAGCTATGCAACTAAACGCCGCCTTTTTCATGAATCAATAAGCTACTTTAAGGTATGGGTTTTCTTTAACTAGAACTAAGACAATTTATAAGACTAAATGTAAATTTAAAGAATTTAACGTAATGCAGAATTAAGAAACTACCCATATATTGTTATTATTTAAATGAAACGGTATAATTAAAAAGGTATTTCTTGGATTTTAACTATGTTTTCAATTCATGGAAAACGAGACACTTGGTTTAATCCCATATTTTAACTCATAATAAGTACTAGATTTTAAACCATATTGTCTTACACTGAGTATCTAACACCGAGTTATCGATGGTAAGGGTAGAAAATCCAATCATATCGTACTGGGATCTTAAATCATGCACAACTTTTTATGGCAGAAAAAACACCGAAAAGAATATTGAATAACGAGCTTCCAGAATTTGATGCTTTAAACAATTTATTTGTCAGGTATTGTATCGGCTGAAAGGGTAGAAGAGTGGCGTTGCCAAGAATTGGCAAGTCTTCAGCAAAAAGAGGTGGCTTCAAACTTGAGAGGTGATATAATTTATCGAAAACGATAATCGTTTAGATTTCGGCAAGATGCAAACTTTATGTTTTTAGCTAAGCCTCCGTTTTAAAAGGAATGCAACGATATAAGCCCACGTTTGTAACGAGCTGAAAAATCTAAAGATGAATGAAGCGTACAGTGTATCATCCAATAGCAAAACTGTATGACAAGCAAATTCTAAGATATCCAGCAGAGTAATCAAAGAATATAATCAGATTAAGTACCTCTTTGCAGCTAACGAAAGGTAAAATAATCCCTCAATAATGATATAATGCCTCTAGAGCCTGTTTTTTAGATCGCTCATCTTAAATTTTGCACAAAATACTTTGAGTGATAAAATGATAAACATAGTATCTGAGCTCAGTGCTCTTTATGCAAAAGCTAAATAAAAATTTTTTTTTCTATTTTTGTTTTTTTTATCACTGGTTCGTTTAGAAAAAGAAGGAGATTGGAAAAATACGTACGTAAAAGACCTGCAAGATCTAGCTAAAGCCAGGTATTTGCATATGTGCAATATAGAATTGATTTCTTATCCTTTATTCCCCAATAAAATATAGAATGAGCCGGCGTAGGGTACCCCCGTGTGTTTTGTTAGTACTTATTTGCCGTTCTGTTAGGTATACCCTCATTCTGCTGTAGCACTCTTAAGTAAGCTTAATTCTATAACTAAGATACGGCAACTAACATTGCTACAGCAGAATCCTAAAACATGGAATCGAAAACGAAAGGATTTGATGGAAATGGTGACGTCAAGGTGTTCATAGAGAAATTTGAAGCACAATCATCGATGAATGGTTACGAGGGAGAAAAGGCCGCGCAAACCTCGCCAGTTAATTGAAGGGCAGAGCATTTGATGTTTATATGAGATTGTCAACAACTGGAAAAAAGGACATAAACAAAACACACGGGGGTACCCTACACTGGAACTACATTCATTAATTTATCAATTCTTGTAAATTTATTTATTCGTTTATTTATTTATTTATTTATCTGTCTCTTTAATATTTATTTATTTATTTCTTCATTCAGTCATTCAAATACATCCATTTTAGGCCATTTCCTGCATCATTTTTTAACCATCTCAAATTTCCGTCCCGTTACTTTTGTTGTGCATCACTTTTTTTCAGCTAGCGTTATTGTATCTCCTAATGCATTCATCACATTTGCAATGTTTCTTCTTTTTGGTTTCTTCTGCTTTTGTTACTCAAAAATTTTTCTATCTTTTATCAATCGTAGAGATGATCAAAAATCAGAAGCTGATCCTAGGGAGTTGGAACGCTTAACTAAAAAGGAAAGCCTATAAGGATCGTGTACAGTTTGCGTTTTTTCAAATGATAATTATCAAAGTCAATCATGGCATTAGCTGAGTTAGTCGTTCTTGTTGAGTTTGGAGCAATGAATAGGACTGAGTTAGGTTTTGAAAATGAATGGGACTGATCTTGACTTTTTTATAGGATTGAGGGAAAGTTAAAAAAGATGGAGGAAACTCACAAAATTAAGAAAAGATGGGGCACAACTGGCGAAAATTTCATCCGCATTTCAACCATGCTCAATCGAAGAAAACAAGCTGAAATTTTAAGAACAGCCCATAAATGTGCCGTTGAATGCAGCTGGCTGCTTTTGCTAAAGAAAAGATACTTCGGTATGTCTTGTTGTAACTACAGTAGGATCACAGTAAGGTTTAGGGTTTATTATTATCGATTCAAAAAATGGTTCAAGAATCCGTTAAGAGCGATAGTCTGTAAAATTCCAAAAAAATTTTATTGCTAAAATTTCAGTTCGAGGGCAGTTTGAAATCATAAATTTTTAACCAAATTAGAGTATTTATTTATCCTTGTGTTTATCCAGGCTTGTTGAACTGGTAAAACAATTACTTGATGTCGTCAGGTTTGAGAAAAAGTTTTAGAAGGCAATATTGGGATCGAAATAGTCATTTTCCCTTCAAGTTGTTCGCCAGACTATTTTGTTGCCGCTTTCCTTAACAATTTTTAAATTGCATGGTAGCTTTTCTCTGTTCTGCCAATTTTAATAGAATTGAGCTTCGTATTTTTGACAATAGATGGCCAGAAAGTTGCCAAGAGGCTAACACGAAGTGTCAACAATGTTTCAGGAAGGATAAGAGTGGCGGTGAAAGAATATAATGAGATAGCAGGCTCTTTGAATTCGAGTTCTATCGAATTCTACGAGGCTTGTAAGGTCGATTTTCACATTTACAAACACCTCGATAATTCATATCAGGTAATTATTTTTACTGTAATTAGTAGTAATTAGGGGCGTCGCCAAAGGGGGTACGGGGGTGCGATAAAGGATTTTTGCCGGGCAAAAAACATTTTTTTACTAATTCTGTAGCCTTTTTGCAACAATTATAACGTATTAACATTTCTGTAGTAGTTGAACTTTCAAAGTATGGCACTAAAGTATGAATTTAGAAACAGAAACGCAAAAAACAGTATATAAGGCTCTCTTTATCTTTTAACCACTTCCTCAAAGAGTGAGACACGCCTTTTTTGTCGGCAAAAATTTGCCCCTCCGAAAATTTTTTCTTGGCTTTGCCCCTGGTTGTAATGAACAATAATGTACACCACCATGGGCTCCGACGTAGGTTGGAAAGTGGAGGGGCCAAGAGAAAATATTACAATCATAACGAAAGGTTTTAAAAAAGCTGTTTTGCAAAAAAGTGAGGGGGCCATGGCTTCCCTCTACGAAAAAACTAAATGAAAATAAATATCTATGGAAAATAAATGAAAAAACTTGACCTTAGCATGGTATCTTATCTAACGATATTTTGCTCTAGTCTAGAGCGTCAATTCTTCGAATAATGAAATAAATATTTTGGAATATGTTCAATAGTTTTTCTGTCAATCTTTCTATATTTTGTTCTCTTCAGCTCAACCGCACTGACTGTTTCTTATACGAATAAGGGTTTAAGCCTTATACGTTTTGTTTATTCACATCTAGCCTTTGACAAGTTAATTTGTTTTTTTATGGCAATTTTATTGAACCATTGCAATAGGAAACAATTCTTTTTCAGCATATTGGAGCCGTCGAACCAGCAATAATTCGACAAGCTATTGATACCCACAGCCTATACAAAAGGGCAGTGGAGGAACAAAAAATTGTCAAAGAAGAAATGGTATCTGTCATCAGACATTTACTTGATTTGGTAGCTGGTCTTGACCAGCTCAAATCAAATCTCAAGGACGACAGCGATTCCATTTATTCAAGGGGTCTTCACGCCATCGTCTGTCGAAAACGGGTAGTATTGCAACAACGAGTTGAAGGATTCAGAAATGTTTTCTACCCGTACGTCCCTGATTTGCTTCAAGAACCACAGCTGGCTGTAGACTCAACAACTGAATGCTCAACAATTGAATCTTCTAACGAAGACCTTGATTCTGATGATGCAGTAATCTACCAAATTGCCCTACAAGCCTACAACGCTGAAGAAGATTCATGGGATGAATACTTGGATTGTGATGACGATGACTAAGATCATTTGGGCAGCTTATGTTAGATTACGTTTTGTTATTTTTATGTACATGGGAAGTAGTGTAACCAAGGATATGGTTTTCTCAGGGGGAGTATTTTTTTTTTTATGTTGTGAGAAACATGCTGTTTCATAAGCCCTGTTTACACAACAACTTTTTACCTGGGCTAATGCTAACGTGAACTTTTTGTGTTTGTACTATCTAAAGTTACACCTTTAGACTTTCAGGAGTACTGTTAGGACAACTAAAGCCTCACAAAACACGGTGTATGACAAAGGGATCTACCTATACTTTAAACGATACGAGATTCGACAGGAAAGAAACATGATAATCGTTATATGATACCTAAGGCATTCTCTTTGTCAGTACAACCTACCTTATCTATGGCCTTTGATCGGGACCAACCACTAGCTTTAAACCGTTCAGACTTTTGCAAACCATAGAGTAAATAGAAATCCCTACGCGTAGATTTAAAAGTTTGATTTATTGATTTTCTGCATGCAGCTCTATTATCAAGTATTTGCCATTTTTTTGCCTGTTATCTTTTAGTTAAATTCTTTGAAAAGCCTCCCAGTCGAGTAATTCGACTGAAAACTTTGTGGGAGTCTTGCTGCGTTGCGAAACTATAGATGCAAATTCCTGTGCTAGTCAAGTCAACCGACTAAGAACTTCGCGGGAGTCTTGCTGCGTTGCGAAACTGTAGATGCAAATTCCTGTGCTAGTCAAGTCAACCGACTAAGAACTTCGCGGGAGTCTTGCTGCGTTGCGAAACTGTAGATGCAAATTCCTGTGCTAGCCAAGTCAACCAACTAAGAACTTCGCGGGAGTCTTGCTGCGTTGCGAAACTATAGATGCAAATTCCTGTGCTAGTCAAGTCAACCGACTAAGAACTTCGCGGAACTCTATTTAACGCAAAGAATAATATAGATTTTATGCGAATTCATAGAAACAGTCATCAAACCCCGCTGAACATGATATCATTATAGGGTTTCCCTGTTCAAAATATCATAATGAACCCAGATCCATAATTATTTTGGGCATATCGGACCCAGATGAATGATTATTTGGGTATATAGGGTGATGCGAGCTAATAATATCAATTTTATGCGAATTCATAGAAACAGTAATCAAACCCCGCTGAACATGATATCATTATAGGGTTTCCCTGTTCAAAATATCATAATGAACCCAGATCCATAATTATTTTGGGCATATCGGACCCAGATGAATGGTTATTTGGGTATATAGGGTGATGTGAATTAATAATATCAATTTTATGCGAATTCATAGAAACAGTCATCAAACCCCGCTGAACATGATATCATTATAGGGTTTCCCTGTTCAAAATATCATAATGAATCCAGATCAATAATTATTTTGGTATGTAAGAATTTTCAAGAGCTCTTTGGGAAGTTGCGGCCATTGATTACAGTGGGAAAAATATTAGTGCAGTGTTTTCTGTCGGAAAACACGTTCAAAATAGGCTTTAAGGATAGCAGTGTTTTGTCACAGTTTTATAAAAGCAACATAAGTAGGAAATCCCAAGGAAATGTTAGATAATAGAAGTGTTAACGACTGAGTCCTATGTGTGCAATTACTATAAATCCGATTACCTTAATGAGAGGACTGGTAACAGAGCAGTTTACAAACAAGTATACAATAGGGTGCAGAGCTATATGTGCATATTAATGTAAAACTGGGAATAATTTGCACAAACGGCAATAAACACAATGGCGGCCTTCATCATAAAGTGTCCCTGTATCTCACACAACCAAATAAGGAAAGATCAGTCTCTAGCCGCTGGTTGGCCACACCTGAGCGACTAGAATTTGAACAATGGAAAATATATGTTCAATTTGTTTTCGACATCATGCAATGAACCAATCATAAATATGCAGCATTGAAAATGCCCAACACCTCCCGCAAGTAGTATGTAAGTGGGTAGAAAATCGAGCCGCTGCGTAGGGTTGGGAGTTGCGAGTAGGTAAAAAAAAAAGCGGTGATAGTAGTAGATTGGAATGTCATATTGTGGTTGGCAGCACTAGATTGGGTCGATTAATTTGGAACACATTCAATCGAAATGCCTGGAAACCAGCCGAAAAGAGCCAGAATGGATATGGGTCCATATAAAGCTCGCTTAGAAGCAGCATGGATGAATGGCTTAACAGATTATTCAAGTGAAGCCAATGTTAGAATGATCCGAGATTTGTCGTCGGAACTCAGTTTGCCAGAGAAAAGGATAAAGGCAGGCTGCCGCCTAGCAAATTAATAATTCTTTATCTCAATTCATGCGGGGGGGGGGGAGAGAAAAGTTGGGAAAATGTCGCCCCAGTCAGAAAATTGTAAGAATTAAATGTTTTTATTGTCTTGATACAAAAGTTGAAGTGTTTTTCAACTTTTAAACAGATCTTTGGGATACACAGTTAATTATTATTGTTGAATCCCAGAATCATTTGAAAAAAGATTGTCTATGTATACAAATTAATTTCTGTTGCACAAGCAAACCCAGCGTGGACTATATGCTAAGCGCCATAGTTTTTTATCGAAAGGGGTTACAATACGTTTTGAAAGTAAGTGTAGAATTAATGGTAAAAATTAAGATTTCGCTACCATGCATACTGTGATGGGTCTTTCAGCACTGGATTGATAATCGGAAGCAGAAAGAAAAGAGGATTGTTGCCCCCCTTTCGAAGAAGCAAAAGATAAAAGCTAAGCTGTACAAGAGAAGACTTTGTGGGTTTGATTTCTTCAAAAGAGAACTTTTGTCAGCTGAAGGTATTATATTACCCAACTGCATCAACTTCATTTTACTTACTTAGAGGTTACTCTGTAGTTTTATGTTTAATAGGTGATTAACTCATGAATGGGTGACAAGGTTGTAATACATCTCTTTGCTCAGGGCCATCGCTAAACACTTCACTTATGGAGTGCCAGTGAACTTGCCGACGGCGGTGTCAATGAACTTGCTGACGATCTAACTAAAGGTGTAATACGTATGCAACTGTGATGGCTTGTATATGCATCTGTTTTTTGGCCATTTTTTTAATAACAATCTATAAATATATTTTGTAGTGTCTGAGGAGAACCCACCATCTCTTGTTCTTTCTAAAGCCAATAAGCTTTGGGCATCATTTTCTGCCAGAGAAAAGGCTGTTTATGAGGTACAAGCTAAGTCATTTACACCACCAGAGATCTCAGACCTTGAGGAGTCTGAAAAGAGAGGATATGTAAGAAGCATAAAAGTGCGGATGAAAGAACTTGTAAGTTTGATATTTTAGAAAAGTAAGATTAACAGTAAAACATTTGTGTATCATCTTCATGTGTATATTTTTTGTTGTTCTGTATTACAAACAAACATGCTTCAAACAAACATTCTGGCACTGTAAATTCTTACTCTATCTTTTTTTAATTTCAGTGTGATAAGTTAGGAGCCTGTGACCAAGAAGTAGTTGTCCTTGTTGCCGATTTAACAAAATCTAAAACAACTGTTTTCGGGACTGAGAAAGCAGTAGAATACATAGATTCACAACCCCATGTGGAAGTCAATCTCTTAAGCTTTTGTGAAGGTGAGCAGTTTTAATTTTATTAAAGAGCCTATTTATCTATCAAACGTATTCTGAGTATAACTGTGCTTGATGGTTTGCTTTTTACCAGTTCAGCAAGGATTGCCATTCAACAAGGACCCTTTTTTATTGCCAATTTCTCCTTTATCCTACCCCCTTTAAACTTTCTGTAATCTATATTGAAGGGATACTACCTGCAAACAAGGATAATCAATGTGGCAAACTCAGAGAGGAGGTGCAGAGGATGTTTAACCAGAAAATCAGTAGGTTAAGGTTTATCATTTCATAGAATAAAGCCCAGTATTGTATACAATGGACACAACTACAATTAGTTATGTTTACATCAAATTTCAGTGAAAAATCATTTAAACTGAAAATATTTATTTTTGTTACTACAACTGTATATTTGAAAATTTAAAATTTACATAACAAAGGTACACAATGCAAACAGATGTTTAAAATTGTTTAGAAAAATTCATTTTTTCCAGATGAGGCAACGAATGGAAAATGCAGGCGTGTTTCGTATAAAATGGTGGAAGATGGAAAAATAAAAGCAACTGGTCTTCCAATGAATGTTACTTTGAAAAAGCCATCAGCATATGGGAAGCAATATTTGATTTGGTAAGGGAAGAAGCCATTCAATATATGTAAAAATTACACATATCACATTATCATAAAACAATGTATTTTGTTTGTTTACCAATATAAATCACATGTGTAAACAATGTATATCTGATCAAGATGAGCAAAAATCACTCATTATCCAAAAAGAAACTGGCACCTTCCAGGATAATAGAGCAAAACTTTTCAATTTTTTGCCAGAAAACATAAGGAAGTGTAGTATCTACAGTAAATTTGTAACATCATCAAGACTTTTTAAAGAACAAAATTGCAACATTTTAATAAATAAAATAAAATGCTTTTAATAAGGTACAATGAATTAAGTTGGTTTTTTTAATGTTTTATAGACACTTTTTAAAAATTTTTTTACCTTAGTGTCTCAGGACAATATTTCTTAAATCAAAGACAATATCTCATTTATCAAAGAATAGCCATGTTATGTGGATCTGTTAACATCCCTAATTATTAATATTCCTTTTTTTTCTTTCTTGATTTATTTTGTTTGTGCTTGCAAAAGTATTTTTTTTAAACCCAGGCTAACCAATTACCTTTGTAATATTGAAACTTGTAATTGTAGTTCTAATTGAATTGCAAATGAAAATTTTCCATTATAATTATTGTTTTCACAATAGTTATAAGTGAACAAGGTGATATTGAAGACCTTGAGCCAAGTTTTCAAGTCCTTGAATCAAACGAGGCACCAGGTGAGTCATGTTTAATTTCTCTACCAGTCGGAATTTATGTGACTTTGTTGAATCAATTTTGCAAAAACTTCATAAAAGAGTGGGAATTAAAGAATTGGTATCAAAATATTTAGCCATATAAACCAAGATGATGTTTCCCTCCACCTCTCCATAGTTCATGGACATTCATGCATAAACTATAGATAGTACTACTAAATGCTATTAAGTTTGATTCTTCTAAATTTTATGGCAATAGAAATGGAGAAGCAAGACAATTCTGCAGCTGTTGGAGGCCTTGCTTCCAAAACCTTGGGCTCTAAAGAGACATCAGGTTGGTTTTCAGTGTATAGAATATAATTATTGAGACAATAAGAAGCAACATTGGGCGTCAGCTGAATAACGCAACCACCAATACATATTCTAAAAAAGCTACTTTACAACATTAGCAACATTAAGAGTATACCTAAAAAATATATTATTATCAAGAGTAGTAATTCTCAGGATGAGAATAAAATAGATTTTACAATGTCCTGCAATCAAGTGAAAGGCAAATAACCCAGTATATTGATTCTGAACACCTCAGGAATCTCCAAAGAACAAGCCATAAAATCTCCATTAAGCGGCTTAACACCCTTTAAAACAAGTCAAAATTGGCGAATCGTTCGAAAAATAATTTGGTGAATCAATCAAAATTAATTTTGGGGTGGGAAGGGGCCTGATAAGTCTACCTTTCCTGCCCCAAAATTAACTTTGATTGATTGACCAAATTATTTTCGAACGATATGCCAATTTTGATATGTTTTAAAGGGTGTTCAGCCATTTAGTTGCTTGTTCTTAGGGTGTTCTTGGGGTTTTCCGCCTGTTCTTGAAGTGTTTAGCCTTTTAGAAACGATGTACAGAGAATAACTTTAAAATAATTTGTGGTAAATGTTTAATTAGAATGATGTACAACAACATCTGCCCCATGACTTAATGGTTTATGTCTGATATCCCAAGAAAGAGGACAAACAGTAATGTGCAATAACTTCTCATCAAAAGTGGTTCCACTCATCTCAGACGAAGCCAAGTCCAACAGAGTGTCAAAAAGACTTTGTCATAATTAACACATACATCTTTATCAAATTTTTTTTGGAAATTTTGTTAGAGGGCATTATCCAAGAAATTCTAGAAAATACTTCCCATCAGAATTGTTATTTTAATATTGTCACTGTATACTAAACAGATTATCTAGTATTCACATTGATCAGGATGTTATTTTGATGATACTCTACTCTACTTTCCTAATTAGCAGTCACACATGTAAGAGGAGAAGCCAAATCAAAACCAACTGCTGAAAAAGATAGCAAAATATGTAATGTGAACATATTTTCCTGCTTTTTGTATAATTATTATTGCCTTGTTTTTTATTTCTTGAAAGAAGGTGTACTGTATGATGCAAAAACATAAAGGACAAAAAACCGATTATATTGTGCAAGTGCTATTTTGTGTACATAATTTCATTCAATGTCAAGTTTAAAAATAAAAATTTCATCCATAGCTCATATTGGATGTAAACTAATCCAAATAATCGATTATAAAAACAAATCAAGAAGTAACGATTACAATTTCTGAAAACTACTCATTACTTACTTTGTCATACTGCTGAGACAGAGCCAAATGTTGTTTTTTTCTATTTAGCAATTTTAGCTGCTTAAGCACATTGCAGGTGTTAAATATATAATAAAATTATAAATACAGAAAGTGCTGAACAAGACATATGAAAAGCTAAAGAAATTATGCAAACTTAATGATATTGAAAAATATAAAATATATAACAGTACATCAAAGAGTGCCTGTGTATGAAGTTTTCAAAAAAAATTGAAAAAAAAAGATTATTCATAAAATCTTCACTTTATGGCTCTATTATATTTATGATTAAGTAACAATGTTTCTTATGGCAACCAAAACAGGAGGACAAGTTGTCCCTTAAGAAAAAAAAGTTTAAAAAATTGAGTCAGTAAGAGAAATAAGAAGAAAAAGTAATGGAAAGCTGGAATTCTTCTTAAAGTGGAAAGGGTATAATGACAGCGACAACACCTGGGAGCCAGAGGAGAATTTGGATAAAAAACTTGTTGATGCATTACTGCAAAACATGCCAATAACTGAATTATAATTAGAATTATAATGCAAGATCCTTGCAAACTAGTTTTTTACAATTATTTACAGACAGTTTCTTAAAGAGTCTTTTAAAGTCAACAGGTGAAGAAAGCTACAACATTAACCATCAAAACATAAACTTTATTTTAAAATAATTAATTTGAACTATAAAAAAGTTTTTCTTTCATTGGCAGAAATTTCAGAAAATTCACTAGGAAGGGAGTTTCTTGCTTAAAAAGGTGCATATATTTCTATACACCAATTTAAAATGCAGCCTCGTTTTAGAAATAACTCCCAACTTGTTGGTTTACCACCTTTCATTTAGTTTGGATACAATCTTCCAAAATGTTTATGCTTTAATCGGTTTGATTGCAATAATTGCTCTAAGTCAAACTTTTTACTCTAATTTCCTAATCACAGTAAAACTTCTTTTAGAATGATTAACTTCATTGGCAATATCACGTGCAACATAAAAAACTTTTTTTACTGAATCCATTGCTTGAATTCAAATCTGACGTCAAACATCTTTTACAAAGAATTTTGAGTAGTTTTCCATAATGAGGCCAAAGCTGAATTGGTGGAGTATTATGTATGTAATTATTCATTACTAAGGGGCATGCCTTTAATTCCATATATGTAGAACTGAAAGATAGAATTACATTTAAGCCCTTTAAGGTATGACAGCGAAATTATTGCGACCTTCGAGTTCACTAAAACACAGCCTTTCTTTTGGGTTGGCTTCCAGGCAGTTGGCGCATAAGAATTTCAAGGCCCGTTTTGTCTTAGAAGACATGTCTGGCCTTTTGCTGAGGATGTTGTTTAGAATTACCCCAAAGGAAAATATGTCCGAAGTCCTTGAAGGAGGGCTGGTACCGCTAAGTACTTCTGGAGCAACATAATTTTCTTCTTTGAGTTCCTCCTTCTGCACATCTGTCAATGGCTTGGCAAACTCCTCTCTGCAAGCTTTGCTGAATCCAACAAGGAATGGGTTGAAAAGTAGCCCAGCTGGCTCAAGTAAAATGTTATTAGTTATAAGTTTGTTGTGAGCTACATGCTTGCTTTGCAAGTAAGAGAGTGCATGCTCAATACCCTGCAATATACTACACACTTCTCATCTTGAGATATAAGTTGTTTTTCTTAAATAGTTAGTCAAAGTGCCCCCATTCACAAAACTTGTGGCAAGGAAGCATTGTTTCTCGACAAAGAAGATACCCTGGAGAGTGACAATATTTGGATGTTGTCCCAAGTATTTGAGAATTCGTGCCTCATATGTGCATTTAAATAGAGTGCCCTGTACTTAACAGACAGCGAAAAATATGTGTCTGCTTTCCATTCCAGATGAACTGGCTGTTCATATCTTGTGGGATGTTGGATGATTCTACCACAGGCACAGTCAGCTCTAGCATTAAGGGGTCATTTTTTGAAAAAGAATCACTTAATGTGGCATTTTCTACAAGCTTCATTGCTCTTGGGTTAAATATACCCTTCATAGTCTCCAAGGAATGCTCAATGTTTTTTTTTTGAAGAGATCGTCTATCTTCCAATAGCATTAGGGACTGTTTTTGTGAAACATCAAGTTTCTTTCTAAGCATTGATGTATGATCGCGTAGGTCGTTATTCTTAAGGCGTAAATTGTTTATTTCTTGTTTCATAACATGCACCCTGTTTTGTGTTACATCACTTTGAGGCATCTGGAAAAATAGTTTATCCTTAAAAAGTTATCATGTAAAAATCTCGAAGAAATGTGGAAATCAAAGGGAAATCAAGAAAAAAGGTGGAACTAACATAACAGGGTTTTATAGTAATTTATCAAAGGCTATGCATTGGACATATTTTCTGTCTTGTATTAAAAACACTTCTCATATAGGGATTGCTGTTCAAGTCCCTTTTTCCAATCAATGAACATGAAATGGCTTACAATCATTGATGAGCTCTTCTGCAAATCTTCCAAACTGTTATCTACCATTACAGCTGTCGACTGAATAGAAAGTGTGATTTTTTAATACAAAGCTAGTGATTATCAAACTTTAATTTTTGGGCTTTTCAAGAATTCTACATACCAGTTGTCTGATGATCTTATTAAGTGTGAAATTCAGAGTTCGGCCATTTTCAATATGCATAAACAACAATTGAAACACAATTGTTGATATATGGACTTTTTGTCAAAAGTTACCCAATTTTACCAACGATTTGCCCGGACGTCATTGAAGTGTATAGATTGAAAACCAAAATCTAAAGGTGTGTGAAATCGAAAAAAGTTTGTCTTGTCTCTAATCTGAAATCCCAGCGAAGTGGAAATGGGCCTTAAGAAGCCTTTTTTATAGAAATTAATGTATGGTAAAACAGTAACTGTCATAAATTTGTCAAGAGACACACAAGATACTAAGTGGAGATATAATACTAAGTCACGCACACTTTCGCTTTCTGAGGAATCTGAGTTGCTTAGCTGGGGTTGGGCAATCAGTGTTGATGTTGGTAGGTTGTCTTCCTAACAAAAAAATAGATGAACCTCATGGGATAAATCACAAATGACAAATTAATCAACCTGTGTACAAAAAATAAATTTCAACATAGACAAGGAACTAACAGATTTAGGACCTAACAGAGCTTATAACAGATTGACTGGGCTAAAACGTTCCAGGGAGGGGGGGGGGTAAACATGCTAAAAACCAAGTGTAGGGTGATTTTTTGTGTAGTTTTAAACCATTTTGGGAAATATTAGGGAGGCATACCATCATACCCTGCTGCCCCTCCTGCTTCCATAGTCCCTGATTACAGATTATACAGTTATTCAGAAAGTAATAAGATTTTGATTAGAATCTGACTATCATTAGGAATAGAAACCACTAGAAAGCAAGAGGGAGTATACTGGTCATAAAAAGAGCATTGAAAAAAAACTAGAAAAGAATTACTGATTTTGTGTCCACTATCTCTTTCAGCCTTTGTACTGTTCTAGGAATGTTTGTGTTTGGGTCAAGTTTATTCTGAAACAGCAAAGAGAAAATGGTAACCTAAAATGTAAGCTAACCTAAAAATGTTACTTAAAATTACCTTAATATAAAGGGATTCAGGATAGGACAATGAAAGGACAATTTTCAAGTCAATAACAACAAAGGAAAAAAGCAAATTGCTAAATAACTAAAGGCATCACCTTGAAATTTCATCCACTCTTGAAAAAACTATAAATTTGTGAATAAACTCTAAGTATTTGGCAGGATACCCTTAACACAAATAGACAGCACAACTGCAGACGATTTTATCAATTTACTATTGCTTTGTTTTTGGAAGATGCAATTTAATTGAAACAGTGCAATGAAACTCATTCATAAGGCAAGTTGAAAGCTAGGTTTTTGAAGAGGTTATTGATGATTAGGAACTTATAAAGCTCATTAGAATGTTCCTGGACACATGTCGTTATAGCGTATTTACTATAACAGGAAACAACAAGAAACAAATACAAAACAAGAAGAAACAATAAGAAAACAACATGAAACAATTAGTGACTTTGCATAGAGGAACAAGCTGTATAGGTTGACAATCTACATCTTGAACATTGTTTTGTTTGGGAGCCTAACCCTAAAGCCTCTATAAAGTTTCGGTAAGTTCCTAAAACAGTTGAATTCAGGGGAAAAAAGGCAAATTGCTATATTTCAACCTTCCCGGTAGTTGTTCCATGTTACTCCCAATGCCAGTGAGATTTGCTCTTACAATGCTGGCATTTCATAACAGGCTTTCATAGTTTAATTCCTCTTACAAAAATACCATATTAACATCTACTATCATAGCTATTAATGCAGGATTTCCACTAAAAAAATAAACTTGTACCACAGTTAAAATTTTTCTAAGTAGTTTCCACTTGTTTCTTCTTGTTTCCTAGTCGTTTCTACTCATTTCCCGTTATAGTAACCATGGTTTGTGTATCCAGTTATAATTCTGATACAGATGTACTGGTGGTTAGTACAAGACAAATGTGCAAGACAATTTTTTAATTAAAGTATACATTGCCCATCATTAACAGGTGTTTCTCATAATCTAAATGTCATATTCAATGAAAATATTTGATCACTATAAAGAAAATGTTTGAAGAAATGAAGACAAAATTGTGGTATGATAGAAAAATTGAGGAAAATCTAGCTTTATATTATTTTATTACTTATATATTATTATTCTTTTAAAGTTTGTTTTTTCTAATTGGAATATCTAAAAAAAGGTTAAAGCCAACTTAGGTGTGTATTTGACTTACAGTGTACTTTGATTGCAACTCAAAAATTAGCTTTTCTTTGACATCTGAAATTTCCATTCCACCTTCAATCGATGCGCTAACTTGTTTCTACAATATGGTAACAATGAAGTGGTTACATATCAATTATTGCAAACTTCAAACAGCTTAACTCCTGATAGCATCTACACAATATAATTACAATTTCCATATATCAATACATATAAGGGTTTTTAAGAATTTTTACGTGGAGTGGGTGTATTTGAAGAGACTTGTTGTGTCAAAATCCATAAAGATAAAAAACAATATATGCATTATGTATATGTATAACTTTTGAGAATTTTCATATTTAATTTCATGATGTATGTTCATTTGTGCAACTGCACACATGTTGATTACTGATGAAAATGAAAACCAAACCATTAACAAAAATTTTCAATTCTCTGGTTTAGCTAAATTGACAATGTTTGCCATGCAAAATATTGCAATGAATATAGAGAGAGAAAGGTGGCATAACAGAGGCAGCTTGGGACCCTAGGGGTTTTTCAGTTCAGGCACAAGTGATTTTAAGAATTTTTGAAACAATATAGACAAACACATAAATCAACAGACTTTCCAGTCAATTAGGTTCATGTAGTCCCTGGGCCCCTTGAAATCATTTATCACGTCCAGGATACCAGCTTCACAGTAAAAAAGCACAAAAAGAATTTGCTGGGGCCCCCTAAGTTGGAGGCCTCTGAGGTTGGGAACCCATAGTTTTTGAACTAAAGGCAGCTTTTTTCTATGTTACACCACTGAGATAAAACAAGTTAAAATATGTTTTATAGTTTGTCTTACATCAAGTGATTTGCGAAGCCTCTTTTTTAGCCTTGCTTTGCCATTTCTTTTCACACAAGTGTTATTTTTCAGCCCAAGCACAATTATTTCCTGGACCAAAGCATGATGCTCCATCTCAATCCGGATCTAAACTTTTTATTAGAAGTAATTAACATTAAATTTGATGCAGAGTGAATTAAGAGGTAAAGATGAATAATAAAGAAATTTTTAATTTGGTTTTTAAAATGGGTCATTACTCAAAAATGGTTTAAAATGGGTCAGAAACTATATGGGTCATAACTCACCCATATAGTTTCTAATTTATTGTCTAAAAAGGGGGAGCTCTCTCCTTGATTAGCTTTGCTATTGTGAGGGTTCCTCCTTAAGAATTCCCCTCCATACAAATCCTCCAATGTCATGTACCTTTGTTCTTTACTATATGTATCGTCTTATGTATTTATTATCTGCATCTTAATTTGCATTCAGCAGTTTTAATTTGTATATAGAGAAATTTAAAATCAGTCAACTTAACTGAACAATTGAACTGAATGGAACCTAAAATTACCCGACTATTCATGAAGGGAATGTAAGGAACAAATCGATAGATGCCACAATATATCCATATATATGCAATGAAAAAAATCCAAACAACATGCCAAAATATACCCATAAAGGAGCGATGTTGGGCCGTTATGGCTGCGATAAAGGAATTTAAACATGTTCTTAATAAGTTCTTAATTAAACATACACCCACCAAACCTATACACAAATCCAATCGATAAAAAGTGTGCGAGTGAAATACTCGATGTAGCCCTATACCAATTCTATACGAAAAATATTCTAAATTACCATTAATGTGTAGTGCTTTACTAATGGTGTAATACGTATTATGTATTATGAGCATTACTCAAGTTGTCCTTGAGTAATGGTGTACAACCATTAGTAGAACTAACTGGATAATGGAGCGAGGATCGGGTGTTCTTTTCATGAAAACATTTTAAGAAATGAAATATATCAGCACAATACAAACTTGTGGAGTGAAGCTGAAACTATTGGTCTTATTTGCGCAAACTATTCAGATAAATAAAAAGACTAACTGTCATCTAGCTATTGTTTTTTATTAATTCTTAGATTCACAAATTTTACTAGTAGTCTTTTAATTTTATTCATATAAAATGCAAAGTGTTTTTTCAGTACAAATAGATTGAAATGTAAAACAATATCCTTATAAACATAGAAGGAATGTTGTCATGTCACAATGTGGTTTTATTCAGGAGGGTTGCTGTCATTTTATAAAGTTCAGTTCCGTTTTATTTTCTAAAATAGACAACATACAATACTCAACATTCAGGTTAAATCAATACATTAAACACAACAATCAATACAAATAGCAAATCATAACTGAATCTATATATTTTAGAAAAAATACAAACAATAAATCATTAAATACAAATGGGGAGTTGTATGGAAGGAAATTTATCGAGCAGAAGCTCTCAGTATATCAAGGAGAGAGCACCCCCTGTGATTCTTTTTCACATCATTAGAATTTATAAACTAATTGATTGTTTTACAAATGATTTAACTGTTATTATATAAGTAACTAACAAACAAACATTGACACACAATTTTTTTTATAAAGGTACGTATAAATTACCTGTCAGGCTCAAAGCAAATGTGTGTTCAGTCAGAGATCCTGTCATCTATTATAATTGCACCTGTTACTGGTGATATCAAATTCGTTATAAAGAAGATGGAAAAACACAAGGATCTGAAACCATTACTTTTTAAATGGGTTGAGGACAAAGTTGTTGATAAGGTGTCAACTGTTGTGGCTGTAAAAAATCCAAGCTTGCTGTCTAAGAACAATTGTGAAGAACTAGTTAAACTAAAAAATGAGTCATTGATGAAATGCAAAAACGAGCCCCTTTGCTGTATCATGTATTAAAAGCCGCAGTTACATCAAGGAAAATCAAAGAAAGACAAGAGCACAGAACATGTTTGCATGGTCTTGCAATGGTGTATGCAATTTTAATGAGAATGAGAAGCCCAACACTAAGTGCTTTGGCATATCGCATGTCTATGGTTTTACATCATAGTGGAGCTAAGAAAAGAGTAAGTACGAATATTACTAAGATTTTAACAGGATCATTTTATATTCTTTTTTATTGTAACAAACATGAAATTTAAGTTCAGCCTTGTTAAGCCTGCAATATTTTTTAAATGTTCATTTAAAGAGTAAATGTTTTTGATAGCAAAAATACTGAATAACATAACAGGGGTGGATTGTAAAGCAAATAGTGAAATCAACATGCCAGTTTCAAAATGATTATTTGAAGAGAAAAAAAGGAAAATATTTCTTTTTTGCCTAAATCAGCTGGAGGATGTTTCCAAAATGTTTCTTAAATTTTAGACAATCTGGTTCTTAAGTTTGTTAAAATAATGTGTGTTTAAAAACCTATCCTATTGCACCAAATCAGTTACTTTTCATTTTGAACTTGGATACAAATAAGCACAAATAGATTGACTGGATTAAATAATAATGACTTATGGATAGCAATTAACAGCTCTCAGCAGTTGCATACTATTAATTAGGGTGAATAATATCTCGAGTCATCTTTAGCATCTAATGCTTCTATACCATCAGACAAATCACTTTTGTCACTTCCAGATGTACTATCTGCATCTGACTTGGGACAAAAGAGCCACTCTGGCAAGGACAAACTCTGTACTTCTTCATTCCTGTCTCTAGCAGCATTTTGTGCCTTGCTTACTTCTATATCTGTTATATCACCAAAGATATCATGCACTATGAGAACTATTTCTCCAGCATGATGCTCTTTGTAAATGGGAGTTTGGCTAAGAATATAGTCAATGCTTGTTATAAAAGGTAAGTGGCCTTGAAGCTCCTTGGTGATACTCTTTGATATGCCAACAAAAAATTGCTTATCAAAGAATGATGTTACATTAGCGCTTCTCTGGCTTGGATACAGTTCACACTTCTCCTTGCTTTGAAACTTTTGGCAAACCCTCTCCTAAGTTCAAAAAAAGGCATTGCACACATACCATTACCTCATACCATTACGTCACAGGATGCATGACAGCAGGAACAACAATCATGTTTCACTTCTGGAAGCTTTACATCTTGTGTGTCAAAGCTTTTGTAAAGTGCAACACAAGACAAGATTCTGTTTCTGTTGCACATGCCTTCATCTCTGCTGTTGCTTAAGCCAACTGTCGTCCTGAATAATATAAAATTGCAGTAGCTGCTGCTCCATCACGTCCTGCTCTTCCAATCCCCTGAATATAGTCTATGACTTCATATGGAGCTCCATAATGAATAACATATCTCAGGTCACTGATGTCAACACTCATCACAAGTGAGGTTATTGCAACAACTACCCTGCATGAACCATCAACATCAGACAATTGTGCAAGCACCCATTCTTTATTTTCATGTAGAGTCATTTTGTGGTACATGCCAATAAGCATGTTACTTGTGGACTTTTCTCTTGACAAAATGTCAAAAGCCTCTCTACCAAGTTCCTCCTTTAAAAATAAAAAAACTTTAGAAACATTCTCAATGCTTTGGCAATAGATGATAGTCTTTTTGAAATTCCTTTTCTGTTTTCGTACACCTTCTACTATCCATTCTAGTAAGGATGGGTTGAGTGTGGGGCATTTTGTTTTCACAAGATGGATTCATATTTAGCCTGTTTGGACTGGCTCTTATCATTGTGAAAGATTGCATTGAAAGAGACTTCACTATTTTCTTCTCTAAGTCTTTATCAGCAGTTGCAGTTAATGCCAACATGTTCACATTTGGAAGTAAGGTTCTCAGCATTCCAAGCTTTGAGTAGGAATCTCGAAAAAACTTTCTGACTACTTTTAGACCTCTCAGTGATCTGTGAGCAAAAGACATATTATTTTATCATTTGAAAGTAATAAATACAAGAAATGAATAGCTCAGTGTGATCTATTGTACTGTCTTACAGGCCTACCGTTGTTTGTCGCCATATGGTGTATGCCTAAGCAGACAAAGAGTCATTGCAAAGTTGCAAGCTGCTGGTACAAGTCATGAGAAGCCATAGTTCAGAGAAAAGAAGCTATCCAGACTCTCTACACCAAGGAGAAAACAATAGATGAAGAGTTACAAATGCAGTTAGCAAAACTGTCAGGTGTACCAGACATTGATATTAAGTTCATTGATGAATCATCAACTCCACATGTTCATGTTGCATCAGCAAGTAAGCAGCATGCTAGACAAAAAGCTATCTGCAAGAAGTCAAGTGATGCAGGTTCCATGACAAACTCTGGTACTGAACATGATAAAGCAGCAATGGCAGCTATTGATGAAGAGTTCAGCTTATTTCAAAAAATTGAAGCAAATGAGATGTGCAAGCTTGATACTCTAATAGAGCAGAGAATGCACATCCAGAGGTCAATGCAAGAAATGCTTTACCAAGTTATTGGTGACAATCTTGATTTATACATAAAAGTGAAACACATGACAAGTGAAAATCAAAACAAGTAAAATTCTTTAATTTTTATTCAAAGTTTTTATCTTAAACTGTGAACACTATATTTTCAGACTTAATTTATTTCCATTCTTTCTTGTATTCTTTGTAAAGCTCCTTTTCCCTGAAAAATACATGTTTCTTACGTGATTAAATCAGATGTTGAAGGTCTAATTAGTTTTAGTTTGTACATATACCAAACAAACTTAGACTCTGCCGGATAAATTTTATCTGCATAAAATTTGTTCGGATTGATTTGCGTTTACACTGTGCGCACAAATTTTGTCCACTTTGCCCTCCCGTTTACACTGTGCCAGAAAACTACAGTCACGTGACCTGAATCATTCGCGTTCAGACAAAGTCCAAGGAAATTGTCAAAGCCCATTAGGCCAATGTAGTTCAAATAATTCTTTGTTTGAAATAACACGTCACAGAAATGGCAAACAAAGTAGGGAAAGCTGAAAAGGACGCCAATTTCACGAGGACTGACGAAGAGACAGCACTTTTGATACAAGTAGTTATCAACTATAAGGCAGCAAAGGTGGCGAAAAGGTCTTGATTAGGAGACGGTGAAAACAAAACATGATGAAATAGCCACTCGTTTTCAAGCAAGATATTTGAAAGCTGATTCTGGAGTTAATCGTGATAAATATCTCAATTGTGAAAGTCCAGATAAAATGAACAAAGCAACTCGATTCAGTTTACGAGAAATGAGATTTGGCGCCACCTTCTGCCACCTTTTTTCTCGTTATTGAAAGAGCCCCGCTGTAAATCAAAATCAATCTCGCAAGGGATATGGATAAAATTTATCCAGATAAAACCGTTTACACTGTACTACATAGCTATCTGAACTAATTTAATCCACTTTCCTAAGTGAACTAAATTTGTCCGGATAGCTGCTCTCAAATTTGTGCGGATAGCGTGGGTCTAGTGTAAACAGGAGCCCTATCTGAACTAATTTTGATGCGGATAAAATTTATCCGGCACAGTGTAACAGGGGTCTTAAACTCTGTGGAAACTACATAAAGAATGTACCTATTTCACGGCTAGGCTATTTGGATTATATAACAGGATGGTTTTAAGTTAATACTGCAATTTTTAGGCTTAGTTGAATTATCAGGCAAGTTTTGATGTTAAAACTGTTGTGTCAAAATTGTTGGAATTATTTTATGCCTGACTGTTTTGTTTATCAAGGCCAAAATTTCTTGATCTTGATATTTTTCTGATTAGTTCAGCAGTTCATGTATGGCTATTTTGTGGCAAATTTTACTTTCAAGCAATTTCCTTTTAATGATTACTGGTATTTGGACCCTTTAGTCATTATATTGTTATTATAATCTTTTAGAATTTTGATAAAAAAATACCAATTATTATTTCTTAGGTCCATTCATTGGTTTAACTTGCTGGGATTGCCACTAAGAGTTACTGGAGTCAACTTGGACAATACACATCAACAAAGATCCATAGTATCTATGCGAAATGAAGAGTTTATTCCAGATAAATCTTTACACAACAAACTTCTCCTGGACTTGATTTCTCTTGTCAGCAGAGTGATTGTTGATAACATCAAAGCATTCAGCCCATTCAAAAACCTTGTTCTTCGACACATTCCTCACAAGTATTCCAAAGAGATGTCAATGAAATCTTATGAGGTAATCCTGAAGTTCCCACTTTTTTAAGACTTAAAAAACCACTTAATATTATGGCAACAACTATATTAAAAAGGTCAAAATGGTTTTATTCTGCCTATTCCCTTACAGGTTCCTCTTGGTTTGATATTCAAAAATGAGTCTGTGGGGGCAGAGATGATTGAGATCCTCTAATTCATTCAACGAAAATATGTGCCAGTCAGCTATTTACAGGCAGATATGGAGAAAGGATCCATGTCATTCAACCTATTTTCTTAGGTGGTGATAATCTGACAGAGGAGCGTGCTCAAAATCTAAAAGGTGCTATGGCAGATGGGGAAGCAGATTTGAATAGACTTGGGGGCATTTTACCAAGGAATGAAGACTGGCATGCCATACGATACATGTATAAGGTATCAAACTTAAAAACTTACTGAAAATCCTATGGTCCTTTACAACAAATTAAATAAAAAAAGCATGTAGCTCTGTTTTGAAAAAAATGCTTATAAGGTCATGTTTTCAAAATCAATTTGTACTAAACTCATTTTTGGGGAGAATAGTGACAAAATCCAGTAAAGCAAATTTCGATTGCTCATATTTATTTGATTTTTTAGATATTATATGAAGCTTTCTTTGATAACGAATCTGTGAGAGATGTTGGTTCAATGGCATACAGCATGAACCTTATCAAAAACACCAATGCAAGGGGGAATGTTCTGGACAAATACAATGAGTGTAAAGAATTTGTTAATTTTGAGACAGACGCCCTTATCATAACATTGACACCCTCGTACTTTGGATTGGCAAGCACTGATGTGCCACCTGAAGAAGTCATTGCACCCACAGTAATTACAAGCAGCAAAGGAGCAAAGATAGGATGGTTTTATGAAGAGGTCAAAAAATGATACTCCAATTCGTTATTGAACCTAATTCAAAGGATATTATAAACATCCACAAAAACATTTAATATAGAATTAGGTATACATTTAATAATTAAGTCATGGATAATAAAGATCCTATCACACCTGGTATACTCAAGCAGATGATGGAAATACAAGATCGGGCCTATCGCTCTTCGCTCCAGTTATTTATGAATGACGTCAAATCAGAAATTAAAGACCCGAGGAAAGATCTTAATGATGTTGTCAAATCAATTTCATTTCTGAGCAATGATAACGATTCAATAAAAGTTGAGATGAAAGCAAATGCGGCTGCAGTAACGAACTTAGCACAAAAGGTAGATCGATTTGAGCATTATGTGAATGAAGGTTTTGAGGACATCACTGACCACACTGAATATCTGGAAAATCAGTCCAGAAGAAATAACCTGAAAATCCTTGGCGTCCCCGAGAGTCCTGATGAAAAATCCTGGGATGAAACTGAAAAGAAAGTCAAGGCTTTGGTAAAATCTAAGCTTGGTGTCTCTGATGATTTTGAAATAGAAAGGGCACACCATGTCGGTCGTTTTCAAAAGAATGAGAAAGGTCATAGATGGATTAATGACACCAACCAGAAGCCTAAACCAAGGCCCATTGTTGCAAAGCTGCGATCTTGGAAAACAAAAGAAATGATTGTGAAGAAGGAACGTCAAGTGAAACCAAAGGGAATCGTGTTCTTCAATGATTTGTCACAAAGAACATTGATGAAAAGTAAAGGCCAAGTCAACGACCTCATAAAGGCAAGAAAGAGGGGCAAAGATTCTTTCTTTGTTCTTGACCGTCTAATTATCAAAGACAAGCCACCTGATGTAAATATCAGTCATTCAAGCAATGAGGGAAATGCTGCTGAAGCAGTCGTAAGTGACAATGAAATTACTTTCAAGGACTAAAAGTAAAACTTCAAGGACTGTCATTCAATTAAAGTTGTGTTTCTTTCAGTTTAGTTCATTTGAATGTAATTATTGGCCCTAATGGTTAGAACTCCAAAATATCCATGTGGCATCTGCCACAAAAACGTGAACAAAAGTGGCATTTTCTGTAATGCTTGCAAATTTTGGCACCATATGAAATGCAATAACATTTCTCTTTCAGAATATGAAGCTCTTACGAAAGAACCTGGTGGTCCATGATTCTGTATTAATTGCACAATAGAATATCATGCATCTGTTTTTCCTTTTGGCTTAATTTAAAATGAAACATGATCAAATCTTTTTGATTTTGACAAACCTTCTGTTGTTGACGCATTACCGTCATTTGAAATAACCTCTCATCTTACTAACTTGCCTAACCTGCAAGACTATGATATTGATGAACACTTACTATCTAATATTGACTCTAGTTATCATACTATTCAAGATTTATCTACCACTGATACTTCTCACAATGATCTTTCCTTCCTTCATATGAATATAAGAAGCCTTTCCTGTCATTTTGATGAGCTTCAGACTCCGCTATCCAACTTGAATATTGGCTTCGATGTTGTTGCTGTTTCTGAAACCTGGGATTCATTTGAAAGGCTTTTGAGCACTAACGTTGACATCCCCGGTTACATGTTTCTCTCTTCTAAATCTCAAAGTCAAAATGGTGGTGTTGGTCTCTATATTAAAACCTGTTTGGGCCCGGTTCCAAGGCCTGACTTGGATAATGACAGTGAGGACTATGAGACAGTATGGGCTGAAATTGAAACTTCCAAGGAAAGCAATATTCTGATCTGTTGTGCATATCGCCACCCTAGTACTGAAATTGAAAATTTCACGGACTGTATTCAAAAGACATTATCTTGCCCCTCTGTTGCAAATAAGGAGATCTTCATCTTAGGTGATTTCAACATCAACTTATTAAATTATGACTCCCATTCTCCTACAAAGGACTTTGTAACTCTTCTTCTTTCTCAACACTTCCTTCCATTTATAATCCATCCAACACGGGTATCTGACCATTCTTCTAACATTATTGATAATATTTTTTCCAATGTTTGCAATTTTAACACCAGAAGTGGTAATATCCTTACTCAAATAGCAGATCATTTTCCTTAGTTTTTGATCGTTCAAAAAGCAGGTAGCACCAACAAAACTTTGTCATACTATACGCATGATTACTCAAAATTTGATGAAGAACGGTTTCTTACAGATTTTAACAGCCTTAAAGGGCCCTGGTCAACATCAATGCTTTGTGCAGATTATATACCCTTGTTGCCCTGTGTTTTCGAGTTTCTGATGTTCACAAAATATGGCGGCACCCATGGGAAGGCCGAAACGTGAGGAAGAAAGAAAAGTGATTTAACTACACAAAACGACTTTTGATAATTGGAATAAGCTAAGGGAGAATTTAAGTGAGAATCGAGGGAAACAAATGACGAATAATGAATTTGCTGTTTATCTCTTGAACCGAATTTCGATATTGATTTGTCGCGAGCAGGAGCAGATTTTTTCAGGGAGTACCCTCGCATGTCCATCGCACTTTTTTGATCATGCCTACGAACAAAATAGAGAACCAAGCGATTCCATACTGCCTCACAGTGACTCTTCGACAATAAATCTACCTGGTATTGCTGTTGGTAAGTCTTTTATTTATTGGTCAGGGTCATTATTGTACGTGGTTGGAATCCCGGGACCACAGCTTTAAAACCGCATTGGTTTCGCCATTAAATTCTAAACTAGAAATTCGAAAAGTAATCGCTATTTTTGTTTCGCCTTTCTTCAAAAATTTTTTAAGTTGCCTAAATCAGCTTTTTGCTAGACTTTTTTTAACAGAAGTTGTCAATTGGCAATTGCAGTTTCTTTCCCAATTGAAGACATCATAAAATCTGGTTGCTCTAATGTGGAAATAATTTTCATTGTGTTTTTGTGTACTAGATCATTCAACACCAAGGTCTCCACCCAAGAGGGCAATATTACAATTGCAGTTTCTTTCCCCAATTAAAGACAGCATAAAATCTGGTTGTTCTAATGTGGAAATAATTTTCATTGTGTTTTTGTGTACTAGATCATTCAACACCAAGGTCTCCACCCAAGAGGGCAATATTACAATTGCAGTTTCTTTCCCCAATTAAAGACAGCATAAAATCTGGTTGTTCTAATGTGGAAATAATTTTCATTGTGTTTTTGTGTACTAGATCATTCAACACCAAGGTCTCCACCCAAGAGGGCAATATTACAATTGCAGTTTCTTTCCCCAATTAAAGACAGCATAAAATCTGGTTGTTCTAATGTGGAAATAATTTTCATTGTGTTTTTGTGTACTAGATCATTCAACACCAAGGTCTCCACCCAAGAGGGCAATATTACAATTGCAGTTTCTTTCCCCAATTAAAGACAGCATAAAATCTGGTTGTTCTAATGTGGAAATAATTTTTCATTGTGTTTTTGTGTACTAGATCATTCAACACCAAGGTCTCCACCCAAGAGGGTAATATTACAAGTGCAGTTTCTTTCCCCAATTAAAGACAGCATGAAATCTGGTTGTTCTAATGTGGAAATAATTTTCATTGTGTTTTTGTGTACTAGATCATTCAACACCAAGGTTGGCACCCAAGAGGGCAATATTACAATTGCAGTTTCTTTCCTCAATTAAAGACAGCATAAAATCTGGTTGTTCTAATGTGGAAATAATTTTCATTGTGTTTTTGGGTACTAGATCATTCAACACCAAGGTCTCCACCCAAGAGGGAAATATTACAAGTGCAGTTTCTTTCCCCAATTGAAGACATCATAAAATCTGGTTGCTCTAATGTGGAAATAATTTTCATTGTGTTTTTGTGTACTAGATCATTCAACACCAAGGTCTCCGCCCAAGAGGGCAATATTACAATTGCAGTTTCTTTCCCCAATTAACGACAGCATAAAATCTGGTTGTTCTAATGTGGAAATAATTTTCATTGTGTTTTTGTGTACTAGATCATTCAACACCAAGGTCTCCACCCAAGAGGGCAATATTACAATTGCAGTTTCTTTCCCCAATTAAAGACAGCATAAAATCTGGTTGTTCTAATGTGGAAATAATTTTCATTGTGTTTTTGTGTACTAGATCATTCAACACCAAGGTCTTCACCCAAGAGGGAAATATTACAAGTGCAGTTTCTTTCCCCAATTGAAGACATCATAAAATCTGGTTGCTCTAATGTGGAAATAATTTTCATTGTGTTTTTGTGTACTAGATCATTCAACACCAAGGTCTCCGCCCAAGAGGGCAATATCACAATTGCAGTTTCTTTCCCCAATTAAAGACAGCATAAAATCTGGTTGCTCTAATGTGGAAATAATTTTCATTGTGTTTTTGTGTACTAGATCATTCAACACCAAGGTCTCCACCCAAGACGGCAATATTACAATTGCAGTTTCTTTCCCCAATTAAAGACAGCATAAAATCTGGTTGTTCTAATGTGGAAATATTTTTCATTGTGTTTTTGTGTACTAGATCATTCAACACCAAGGTCTCCACCCAAGAGGGCAATATTACAATTGCAGTTTCTTTCCCCAATTAAAGACAGCATAAAATCTGGCTGCTCTAATGCGGAAATAATTTTCATTGTGTTTTTGTGTACTAGATCATTCAACACCAAGGTCTCCACCCAAGAGGGCAATATTACAATTGCAGTTTCTTTCCCCAATTAAATACAGCATAAAATCTGGTTGTTCTAATGTGGAAATAATTTTACATTGTGTTTTTGTGTACTAGATCATTCAACACCAAGGTCTCCACCCAAGAGGGCAATATTACAATTGCAGTTTCTTTCCCCAATTAAAGACAGCATAAAATCTGGTTGTTCTAATGTGGAAATAATTTTCATCGTGTTTTTGTGTACTAGATCATTCAACACCAAGGTCTCCACCCAAGAGGGCAATATTACAATTGCAGTTTCTTTCCCCAATTAAAGACAGCATAAAATCTGGTTGTTCTAATGTGGAAATAATTTTCATTGTGTTTTTGTGTACTAGATCATTCAACACCAAGGTCTCCACCCAAGAGGGCAATATTACAATTGCAGTTTCTTTCCCCAATTAAAGACAGCATAAAATCTGGTTGTTCTAATGTGGAAATATTTTTCATTGTGTTTTTGTGTACTAGATCATTCAACACCAAGGTCTCCACCCAAGAGGGCAATATTACAATTGCAGTTTCTTTCCCCAATTAAAGACAGCATAAAATCTGGTTGTTCTAATGTGGAAGTAATTTTCATTGTGTTTTTGTGTATTAGATCATTCAACACCAAGGTCTCCACCCAAGAGGGTAATATTACAATTGCAGTTTCTTTCCCCAATTAAAGACAGCAAAAAATCTGGTTGTTCTAATGTGGAAATAATTTTTCATTGTGTTTTTGTGTACTAGATCATTCAACACCAAGGTCTCCACCCAAGAGGGCAATATTACAAGTGCAGTTTCTTTCCCCAATTAAAGACAGCATAAAATCTGGTTGTTCTAATGTGGAAATAATTTTCATTTTGTTTTTGTGTACTAGATCATTCAACACCAAGGTCTCCACCCAAGAGGGTAATATTACAATTGCAGTTTCTTTCCCCAATTAAAGACAGCAAAAAATCTGGTTGTTCTAATGTGGAAATAATTTTTCATTGTGTTTTTGTGTACTAGATCATTCAACACCAAGGTCTCCACCCAAGAGGGTAATATTACAAGTGCAGTTTCTTTCCCCAATTAAAGACAGCATAAAATCTGGTTGTTCTAATGTGGAAATAATTTTCATTGTGTTTTTGTGTACTAGATCATTCAACACCAAGGTTGGCACCCAAGAGGGCAATATTACAATTGCAGTTTCTTTCCTCAATTAAAGACAGCATAAAATCTGGTTGTTCTAATGTGGAAATAATTTTCATTGTGTTTTTGGGTACTAGATCATTCAACACCAAGGTCTCCACCCAAGAGGGCAATATTACAATTGCAGTTTCTTTCCCCAATTAAAGACAGCATAAAATCTGGTTGTTCTAATGTGGAAGTAATTTTCATTGTGTTTTTGTGTACTAGATCATTCAACACCAAGGTCTCCACCGAAGAGGGCAATATTACAATTG